GGTTGCTTATTTGCATTGTTGAGTGGTTAAACCGAGGAGAGGAGCGCCTTAGACATAAGGGTTCCGCTTAAGTAGCCTAGACATAGGACCTTAACCCGAGGTTGCGACTATTTCCATCCTAAAACTAAGATATCTCTCATAATAGACATATTAGGGAATGTCTTAGGACTTTGAACTTGCTTAGACATAAGTCAAGTGAAAAGTGTAGTCGTTGGTTCCTAAAGTAAAATGCATATCGTCCTTAGCATATCCTTGATTCTTTGTTGGCTAACTTGAAGTAATTCGGGCTAGGTTTTATCATTATAAGTCCAAATCCCAAATCCAAAACCATTATTTGTGACCACTTCCCATTTTACAAGAATCACTCGTTTCAACATTCACTATTCTTTAAAACTTTAGAGTTTGGAAATTATTTAGAAGTCCTTGAGGATCGATACTTGAATACTCCATCCATTTTATATTACTCTGACAGGTGTGCGCTTGCATCTATATAATTGTTACCACGCTTAGTGCGTGCGTTCAGCAAACCGCCAGTCAATTGACTTGCCATTAATGGTAGTATATCCGTGGACATGACAATATTATGCAGTGAGAAGAGTGCAGCTGCAGGTCTTTAGTGGAGTGACTCGAGTTAAAGAATGTTGATTAACTCGGTTAATGAGTTTGACCGTAATCACGTGTCGTTTGAGCTTATGACCTGTAGGTCCATTAGGTCCCCTTGCTAGCTCACAATGGTTAAAACAAGGATCAAGAGTAATGAAATAATTTTGAAATGTTCAAATTATATATGTGAATGTATATATTGTATATTGATACCTTATATACAGATATATATTATGAGAAAAATGTTTGAATGAGATTCAAATAATTAATATGATGGCGGGCCCTCGGCGAGGCTATGGTACCGACAGTTGAAGCCGAGGTCAATCGACATTTATCAATAGTTGAGAATGTTGTTCATCAATCAGTTCTCAGCTAGGTAATTGTTGAAGTTGTTGCCCTCCCACCTCGGAACAGTGAAGCAACGGCATAATGAGTCCCTGACGGAATACATCGCATGATTCATGGACGAGCATGTCAAGGTGGTGAGCTGCACTGATGATATCGCCATGATGTACTTCACGACAGGGTTGAATGACAGGAACTTGACAATTGAGTTCAGAAGCCGCCCGCCGGCCTCCTTAAACGAAATGTTTGCTCGAGCTCGCCAGTATATCGATGGCCTGGAGCTATGGAAGGCCAACGGAGCCAGGCGAAGCAGCCGTGGTAGAGATCGGGACCACAAGTCTCCACCCTCCAAGAAACGGTGCGATGATGATCGAAGTTCATCTCGGCGAGCCGATGACGACAAGAGTAGAAGCCGACGTGATGAAAGGGTCACTTCAAATCGTCGTGGGCCAAAGTTCGACAAGTTTACTCCGTTGAATGCCTCGATTGCTGAGATCTATGCAGTAGTCGAAGACACCGACATGGAGGTGCTATTTGCATCCCCTGAAAAGCTCCGCCGACCTTCGGGAAAGCGGAACAAGCGACTCTATTGCCGATTCCATAAGGATCACGGCCACGACACTTCCCGTTGCTTCCATCTGAAGGAGCAGGTTGAGGATTTGATCCGGATAGGTTATTTGAAGAAATATGTCGGCAGCAGAGAACAAGCTGAGCTAGAGGGATCAGCTCGGGAAGAGAAGCGAGAAAGATCTCAGCCGCCCAGACCAAAGGAAGATCGTCCTGCTGTTATAAACACCATTCACGGGGGTCCGAGCGGGGAAAAGTCAGGGCAGAAGAGAAAAGCTCTAGCCCGGGAAGTAGCGCATGAGGTCTGTACCTCGTACCCCAAGTGGCCCGTGATGCCGATCTTATTTGACGAGCAAGATGGTGAAAGGGTGCATATGCCCCATAATGATGCTTTGGTGATAGCCCCCTTAATAGACCATGTGAAGGTCAGAAGAGTTTTTGTTGATGGCGGGGCGTCGGCTAATATATTTTCCTTCTCGACCTACACGGCTCTGGGATGGGAGAGAAGGCACTTGAAGCACAAGACAACATCATTGGTTGGCTTTGCAAGGGAGTCAGTTAGCACGGAAGGGTGTATCTCGCTCCCTGTTACCATCAGCGAAGGGGAGCATCAAGTGACCAGAGTTGCCGAGTTTGTTGTGATAGATCGAAGCTCGGCATACAAAGTATCCGACCCCGACCGGGATTGCAACAGTCAGAGGTAAGCAAAGAACATCGAGAGAATGCTATGCAACTGCAATGAAAAGGAACGCCACTTGCGTAGTGATCATGGAACTTGAAACAGTTGCACCACCACATACCGACGAGGTAGAGCTCAACCGCGGCACGCCAGCAGAAGAGCTGAACTTGTCCCCTTGCTAGGGCCGGATAGGCAAGTCAGCATCGGCAGCAGGTTGGAGGCCAAAGCAAAGGAAGAGCTCGTCAGGTTTTTGAAGTCGAACTCCGACGTATTTGCATGGTCCCATGACGACATGCCCAATATCGACCCGAACATAATGGTGCATAGGCTTAATGTARATCCTATGATATAGAAATGAGTGATCACGGAGTGTACGGGGAAAACTTACAAGAGGAGCAAGCTCAAATCAGCTCAAATGAAGCTTATGCTCAAAGTCAACCCAATCATGAGCCAATCATTATGCCACAAGGTCCAATCACAAGAGCTAGAGCTAAAAGACTACAAGAAGGGTTGAATGGTCACTTCCAAGCTAAGGTGTTCACACTTGGTGAAGCGTTGCATCCCTTCAAGCTTGAAAAGACATATTGTCCTCCAAGAAACTTCATGAATCTAATAATCCAGATTCATCCACATATTTAATTTATTATGTATTTTTCAAGGGTTGTGTCTTTTCATCGAAGGGTTGTGTCTTTTCATTATGTCTTTTGAATTACTATAAATAGGGATGTGCATTTGCTTTTCAAAGACAACATTTTTGATGAATGAAAATTTCAGATTGAGTTTAATCTCTCTCAAGCTTTTAAGCTTTCTTTGTATTCTTGTGTTAGAATGCATGTTTTAGAACTTTCAATCTAGTTTGATCCATTAGGTTGTGGAGAGTTCGAAATCTTGAATATAGGAACAAGTTCTCCTTTATTCTTAATCATTGATCATCTTTTCCAAGCACAAATCTGTTTAGCTTTCTTGGGGTTGATTCATCATCTTGTTATTGGGGTTATTCTTATTATTGTTGTGGGGATTCACCTTGTATAAGGGAGTTCTCATGCATAATTGAGTTAGTTCCTTTATCATCCTAGCTATAGGCCTGTAAGGTAAAAGCATCGGCCTGTCGACGCCTAGCGAAGTAATGTAATTTGTAAAGAGGTGGAACAGTTGTTACAAGCTAATTTCATAAGAGAAGTTCATTACCCCACATGGATTTCCAATGTTGTTTTAGTTAAAAAGTGATGCAAATCCAACCACGGATCCATTGACTGTACTCGGGGGACCAATTACAAGAAGCAAAGCAAAGAAGATTCAAGAGGTTTTCATAATACATCTTCAAAGGCTAGCTAATGCACACGAGGAGACAAAGATTTCTGAGGCAAAAATTCTTTACAATGTTAATTTAA